ATTAACTCACGCGTTACCGACTGACACTGACTGTATACAACTGAATAAAATAATTGTAAAAACATCGTTCCAAATTCTTTCGCTTTTTTGTTTCCGATACGGTGAACCGATAAAACGGATTATATCTGTTGTTGCCAAACTTCCAAAGGGCTATAACTTTTTTACTTTAATTTTACCAGAAAAATGGTAAAGGAAAAAAACATTTCTTTTGATCAGATCTACTCACTGTTAAAATAAATGACTCAACTTCGAAGTCACCCTGTATATACGAGGCGTGTTTTTAAAGTAAGTACCGTTCTGACCTAAAAAAACAACAAGTAAATTTTGTCCAAAAATAATTTATTCACTTGAAAGACCATATTTTACTCTAATTTTTTACGTAATTCCAATTACGATTGAGGCATCTATCGTATCTTGAGACCAGCTTTTGTATGCCATCGTCAAAGAAGCTTGCCGCCTGAGTAAACAACCACTGCTCCACATTTTTGGCACCCAGCGTGAACACAATTTCCGATAATTTAAACGAACGGACACAATTTCGTAAAGAGCACTTCTTGAGACAGCAGGAAACAGCTAAGGACGAAATCGTAAATCGTCTGTTCTCTTTCACTTTACAGTCCACTTTTTGAATCAGGTCATCGGTAATGACTGAAGGTCTCCCACTTCGTTCCTCACCATGAATGTTTGTGCCGCCATCTTCAAAGGCCCTAACCCATTTCTGCACCATTCCATCACTCATAATGTTTTCACCACTGACTTGGTGATGAATTTCAACTGATTTGAAGCCTTGAGCACAGAGAAACCGGATTACAGCACACACTTCGCAGTCGGAGGGATTCTCAATCGGTGGAGGCATTTTAAAATCACGCAAACAGATGTAGACTGGATCGGACGGTTCAGTAATGGCGTCTGCGGCTTCCCAGCAGATGTAGCTACACGACGCGCATGCGCTAAACGGCAACCGCAGTGCTGCGGCGGCGTAATTTAAAAACGGTACTTACTTTAAAAACACGCCTCGTATATATATATATACGGATTTTGCCCATTATTTTCCTATTTTTTGTTATATATATATATATATATATATATATATATACAGGGTGACTTTGAAGTTGAGTCATTAATTTTCAGATAATGATTGTAGAAGGAAGATAAACCAAAATATGTGTGTAAAAATAAAAAAAAAATAAAAAAAAATGTTTACCTTGTTTTATAAAGTATCCTCCCGACAAGTATTTCAGTGCGGACCTGTATTTGATCGTGAGGTCCCCTGTGAGGTCTTAAGTCACCTGATTCACAAGCCCGTTGTACTACATTAACAAAGGCACGAGGGGTTGGTTGCACTCGATTGGGAAACCGATCCGCATAAACATGTGCCATTTTTTATTTCGTTTGAGCCACGCAACACATAACCACTATTCACTGACACTAACTGTATACAAATGAATGAGAGAATGAGATATAAAAACATCGTTCCAAATTCTTTCGCTTTTTTGTTTCCGATGCGATGAACCGATACGGCGGATTATATCCATTGTCGCCAAACACGACCACATAATATTGCTATTGAGACAGGGCGGTACTCAAACTTCCAAAGGGCTATAACTTTGTTACTTTAATTTTACCAGGAAAATGGTAAAGGAAAAAAACATTTCTTTTGATCAGATCTACTCACTGTTAAAATAAATGACTCAACTTCGAAGTCACCCTGTATATAAAGCTTCCGCCTTTAGTTGGGTACTTCAACAAAATTCAAGCAATGAGGACTCTTTATACTTTATTAGCCTCTAGCTTTCAATGGACTTTGCCATCTTCATCATTAGCTGCAATAACATTGAAAAGAAATAGCAACTATTGCGCAAAATGATTTTAAATTACTTACATTAGTATGTGAGATTGTTGCTAAATGTTATTAACGGTTATGTTGAGGGAAACATCTAGTAGCCTGGTGAAAGCTGGACACATGGTACATTCGTTAAAATTAACATAAAATATACACATCTGTATGTCAGGAATACATCAAAACGAATTAAAAAATATTTAGAACAAAAGTTAAAATTACATGTAGGCACTACCCTATATTTGAATACGTAAAATGCCAAACAAAATCAAGAACACACTAAGAATTTCAGTCATCAATAATCAATATGATATATAATTAAAATGATGTTTTACCTTTTCAAAGGGAAGGGATGGCATCCAACAAAATCGGCTGCGTAACAGCTACAAGATAGCAACCAAACAAAGCTGGAGGGGTGTGAATGGTGGTTCTCCGCAATGGCATTCCACTAAAAGGAAACAGATATTGAACAAACTTCTCCAGGACATGCATTAATGGGCGTGGTCCAATGGTATACAAAAAAGAACTTACCGCTGGAGGTTAAATTCCCATTAGAAAATGGACGAGTAGTACCCAAACCAACACAACTAAAAATAAAAGGGTACTACTCCATAAATTGGTGTTTGGGAGTCTAATGTCCCAGAATCTGTAAACTAATGAAACGACATCCACACCACAATCTCCGCAGGAAAGTAAAAGCAAAATGGCGCTGGACGCGTCTGTACACCAAGTTTTCAAAACAAGGCATCTTGATCGGAAATCAAATATTAAAGAAGGTTAAATGAGTAGCCCTGAAGAAGGCACGTTCGACAGAAAATCAAAAAGAACGGAGACAAGCCGGTAAAGAAGGTACTATATCTTGATAGTAGAGCAGATTTTAACAGAAGGTAACTCTGTCTCCGAGGAACAAACAAAATTTTGTGAGGAAATTTCTCAGATAGTCGCTAATAATACTATAATATTACCGTCCAAAAGATTTCAAAACAATACTGAATCGCTGAGAAAGAAAGATATACACAGTATGTCTGAAAAGTTCCGAACTGAATTTCTGTATTCGACACAAGCAGCGTGATCTCTCGAACAATCCCGGAACTGGCTAGCGCGTTGTCTAAAGTATAAGTGTTCCAAATTTCACCGCGTTTGGTCACTCCAATCTCGAGTTATATTCAGCTATGTAAACTGTGTCCATGTGGCCTTGTGCAAATCCACGACATGGAACAAACAAGTGCGATAAAGTTTTGCGTTTGCCTTTTAATTTTTTTTAAACAATTGTAACGGGCGACGAAAGCTGGTGTTTCATGTACGATCCTCAAACAAAACGTCAATCCGCTGCCTGTTTGAGTCCAGGTGTGCAAAGGCCATCGAAAGTCAGGCAACAAAAGTCGAAAGAGAGAACAATGTTGATCGCATGTTTTTATTCAACGGGCCTAATTCACCATGAATTAGTTCCGACTGGGCAAACTGTAGTTCTACGTTATATTTGGAGGTTATGAAACGCCTGATGTGCCGCATTCGTCGGATCCAGCCCGAGTACCGGGATCCGGGCAGTTGGACTCTATTTGCATGACAATGCGCCGGCTTACACTGCGACCCTTCTGACGCGTTACTACGCGACTAATCAAATCACCGTCTTATGTCACCCGCCCTATTCACCTGATTTGGCACCGGCCGATTATTTTTTGCTCGCCAAGCTAAAACTGAAGATGAAAGGACGATTTTTTGATGACATTTCGACTATCCAGAAAGCTTGTACCGAGGAGATGAAAGCGATCTCAGAAAATGAATTAACCTGAACGTTCGACGCACTCTACCGGCGCTGTAACGAGTGTATTACTAGAGAATGTTACTATGTAGAAGGCTGATGTGAATAAATTCGTGCATCTTTTAATTTGTATTTTTTATGAATTTAGTTCGGAAACTTTTCAGACATACTGTGGAATTCATGTGAAATTATACAATTAATAAACTATGAAACTTGCCAAAAGAAAATCATTAAAAAGGGTTTGATCTAGGAATCGGTACTCTATAATCAATAAAGAAACATTCAAATTACTGATAAGTTTTCAAAATAGTAAAAAAAAGGTTACGCGATTTTGGCACGTGACAGAGGTTGTGGCGAAGATTGAGCAAATGTTCCTGAAAGATCGGCGAATCACGATCTGGGAACAGGCGGTTGAAATTCCTGAGGCTTCTGAAAAAGTGACACGGACAATCCAAAATCGCCGTAGGAGAAACCTCACCAAAGCATAAGACTACACCACAACAATGCCCATCCTCATGTCTCACAACAAACGAAGGACTCAATTGAGCGATTTGGCTGGAAAGTCATTGCCCATCCCCCCTTTCAGCACTGACATAGTTTTTGAATTGAAGGAACACCAGCACCAAGGCGGTCAACGGATGAGGAGTTACAAGGAGCAGTTAGCAAGAACAAAATGGCAATTATGGTAAAAAATAGCTTAAAGATCAATGTTTCCAGTGATGAATTCGTTCTTTCAAATAAGAAATTCCTTGTGACTGAAAAAATGTGGGAACCTTATTTTTGAAAGAACCCTGACTTGCATAATATAGTGGCGTGTATGAGTGATCGTCCAGGCAAGTACTTTGCTGACGGGATGATGTCAGCTTTCTTTGGTGGAAATAATCTTTCATAAGTTCAATCATCCTGTTATGGAGATTTTTCATATCAATAAGACCTCTGCTTTCATTTTCCCGCGGCAGTGTCATTCTTAGGGTGCTAGGTTTGCGGTGGTGCTTCCTGTACTTAGTTTCCGCTCTCTGACGGAAAATGTAACAATAGCTCAGGATGTGTTGATTTTGTCACCATCGGTGGAAATGAAAGATAATTCTAAAAGGAAAATGGAATAAACAAATCATTCCATTCAAAATGAAAACAAAATACTAAATTAAATGTTCGAATAGACCTCCTTGTTAGGCTTGACAATATCCTAACATATCGTACAAGCCTGTGCGAATATTTTCTAGCATGGTAGGAGTCAGCGTACGGCAAAGTTCCTGCAGAGTGGCAGCCGATGACTATAATCATAAAAATAAAATTCCGGTGTCGCATGCGAGAATATGTTACATGCTAGATTATTCAAGAACACTCCCCCTGGTCATGTTTGCTATCATTATTGATATCATAATTTAAAATTCTCAGCAAAACTACGACAGAGGTTTTTGAGGAGACAGCTGACCTGATAATTGGAGCTGATGGTGCGTACAGTGTTCTAAGATCTGCTATGCTAATGACACCTATGTTCCAGTTCAATCAGACCCACATAGAACACGGTTATCTGGAATTATATATACCTGCGAGTTCGGGAGACAAGATGACGCCAAATCATCTACATATATGGCCAAGGGGTAAGGTGTAATTGATATTAACCATGTTTCAGCAATGATTTTCAAGCAGTTTGCAACCATAAAATCGAGTTGACCAATCAGATTGTCGAAAAAGTGTAAAAGTTGGTTATCTGTTTTCAACTGTCCATAACCGTAAAAGATTCGTTGCCAAAACATGCCCATTGGAACATATTTCACAGAAGTTTTTCATGCTTGCTAAGCTAAGCACCTTAGTGGAGCCGTAGTCCCGCAAAAAACTTTGTTCTTCTTTAATATATGTATTAGTTGAGCATTGGTTGGGTTCAAACAAGACCGATGCAGCAGGTCGCGCAGTTGATGCGTTCGCTTTTACTCAAGGACTGACCCAGCTGGTGTCGAGCCCTAGTTTTTTTTTCCCGCGTATAGTAACATGCCAATAGCCTGTTGGATCTCTTTCTGACCAAGCATCCTCTCCCTTACAGCACTGCTGTCCTGTTCCCCCTGGGTAACTCAGACCACGGTGCTGTGGAGGTTGGCTTTCGGTCAGAACCCGCAAAACTTGGCATTACGGACATGCCGACTGGGAGGGGCTCCAGAGACTTCTTCTCTAGCTTTCCTTGAAGAGATATTTGTTTCGCTGACGCGGATGCGTCGGCCGTCTGTTCTTCGATTTCCGGAATTATCCTCGTCGGGATGAAGGACTACATCCCTCATACAGTGACAGTAGCTAAAATAGGGTCCACCGGCTGGTTTAACAGATCGTGTAACACTGCTCCCCAGCAGAAGATCAAGTCACACAGAACCTTCTTACAAAACCACACTGTGGAAAAGAGACAAACCACAGGGTAATGTCGCAGCACAATGGGTGTCGGTCTTTCTGGACGCTGGCCAAGCAGATTGAAAGGAACTTCTCACGCAGTAGCCTTCCTCCAGTTACGTGTCAGGATGGGACGATTGTAGCCGACTCAAAGGCCAATCCGGAAGTGCTTGCCAAGATCTTTGCTGCCAACCCCACCATGGACGTCCCCCCAACGCCCAAGTGCCGCCGATTCAAAGGGCTACCTACACTATGCGGGAAGCAACATGCAGGCGTAAGACCGTAAGACGGGTGCACTTGTTGCTTGACATCAACCAAGCTTATCGTCCCTACCTGATTTCTGCCACTGAAATGAAGAGGTGTGCAACGGAGCTTGCTCCAGTTCTTTCGCGTCTGTACCAGATATCTTACGAATCCGGCACCTTCCCAGAAAACAGGAAATTTGCTCATGTCCAACCCATCAAAAAAAAGGGATATAAAACCGACCCTTACAACTACGGGCCTATAGCTTTGCTTTGTTATAAATAAGGTGATGGAGAGGTGCATAAATCGCGACTTCGAACTTCAAAGCTTGATTAGGCAGTATGGTTTCCGGCACCAACGATCCACAGGGGACTTCCTAGCTTACGTCACGCAATTGTGGAGTAAAGCTAAGGCGGAAGTGCTTGCCAGGTTTTTTGCTGCCAACAAAGCTCGACATCAACAAAGCTAGTCCGGACTTGATTCCTGCCGTTGTATTGAAGAGGTATGCAGCGGAGCTTACTCCAGTTCTTTCGCGTATCTTCCAGATATCTTACTAATCCGGCACCATCCTAGAAAACTGAAAATTTGCTCATGTCCAACCCATTAGAGATACATAAATCGCGAGCTTCTGGACTGCCTCGAACGTCACGGCTTGACTAGCGACAGGCAGTATTATGGTGAGGCTCATGTTGTTTCTCTTGATATCACGAACGCTGCCCTCTTATGCTCTTCCATCCTAAGGCCTCCCAGAAAAATATTTGCAGAGTGATGGCCGACTTTCTTTCTGGCCGCAAGATATCCGTCGTAATTGACAGGTTCTCCTATTCATCCAGAAAAGTCAATGCGGATGTTGCCCAGGGATCGGTTCTGGTTTCGACACTGTTCCTCTTATGTATCAACGACCTCCTTTCCTGCAAGGGCAACCCAATCCACAGCTTCGCGGATGACAGCACTCTACATGCAGGAATTCAAAGTGACAAGCCGATCTCTGCCACTGAGCTGGAAAAAAGAACACTAGCGATAACTTCCTCTATGACAAGAGACCTCGAGGTTATGACTGCTTGGGGACGCAACAATTTTGTACAGCTTAATGCTTCCAAAACCCAGTACTGTACCTTGGTGAGTAAAATGCATCCTAGCGTTCATCCGGTTTCGATGGATGGCCGAGTTCTGCCAAAGAGCCGTTCATTTCGACTGGTCGGAGTCCAAATCACCGAGGACTTGATCTGTCACGAACACGTCTCGTCAATAGCGACAGCTGTTGGGAAAAAGCTAGGCTATTTGTTTAAAGCTAAGTACTTTTATCGACATCACCTGCTGCCATTCCACTACATTATTTATATTCGATGCTGTCCAGAGGAGGGCTGTCCGACTGATCGATGACTCTTTTCTAGCAGACAGCCTTGGGACCGTCTTCTACCGCTACACCAACGGGCTCTGCTGCTCAGAGCTCTCTTCCATGATGCCGCCGTGCAATGTGCCTGCCAAACAGACCCGCCTGATTTTGATTTCCCATCCTATAGTAAAATACCGAAATTGATGACAGTAGCGAAACTGGACCCCTACTGAGCGAGGGCCGTGGCAAATGCTTGTTCCGGAAGTCGTTGTATCCAGTATACAACTTCTTCCCGTCCAAGTGATTGCGCACGCGTTAAGGAATACCTCAGTACCGATTGCCGGGTGGCGGTACAAGTCCGCCAACGGGCCACTTTAGGTCTATTTAACATCACTAATACGTAAAAAGAAGGTGGTAGACAAGGACCAGTCGACCGAGGCAGTACCACCCGCTAGCTTTTCCCAGGGTGTCTTATAAATGTCCGCATGTTTCCACACCTAAGCTATGCAGTCGGTTATCTACCAAAACAAAGAAATTAATGATGATGGATCCCTCGAGCACTAAAAACTCCGAACGTAAACTCACTCCACTCTCGGAATGTCCGGGTGGAGGGTGGGCTCGAGGGAACAACATCGAAGATAAAATTTGTTTTTCGAACATCTGCGGGATCAACAGCAACATTGATGCTGTTCATCACTACCTGCAATCCAATCGTCCCGCCGTGCTTTTCTTGGCGGAGACAAAAATCTCAGAGGCTGCACCGATTAACCATCTCAACTTCCCAAACTACGAGGTGCACTCCAATCTGAGAAAGAACGGGGGAGTTGTGGCTTTTGTCCGCAGCAGTCTTTCCTGCTCCAGGGATCTTTCTTTGGAATCAGACCGGAAGGACATTCTATGGCTTCGCCTCAACTCCAAAACATCACCCAAATTTATTTGCTGCCTTTATCGCTCTCCCTCGAACCATAACTGGGATGACTTACTCGAATACCTCGCCGTCCAGATCGACTTCCTGAACATCAATCACCCCGCTTCAGAGGTAGTTCTTCTCGGTGATTTCAATGCCCATAATGAGCTTTAGTTGGGCTCAAATAAGACCGATGCAGCAGGTCGTGCAGTCGAAGCGTTCGCTCTTACTCAAGGGCTGACCCAGCTGGTGACGAGCCCTACTTTTTTCCTCCGCGTCTCGTCACACGCCAGTAGCCTGCTGGATCTCTTTCTGACCACGCATCCTGCCCCTTACAGCACTGCCGTCCTGTCCCCCCTGGGTAACTCAGATCACGGTGTTGTGGAGGTTAGGTTTCGGTCAGAAGCCGCTGTGGCCGCAGAAACTCGCACAGGCCGCAAAACTTGGCATTACGGACATGCCGACTGGGAGGGGCTCAGAGACTTCTTCTCTAGCTTTCCTTGGAGAGATGTCTGTTTCACTGACGCGGATGCGTCGACTGTCTGTTCTTCAATAACCGAAATTATCCACGTCGGAATGGAGGAATACATCCCTCACACAGTGAAAGTTCCTAAACCAGGGTCCAACGGCTGGTTCAACAAATCGTGTGACACTGCTCGCCAGCAGAAGATCAAGGCCCACAGAACCTACTTACAAAACCCCACTGTAGAGAACAGACAAGCCGACGTCGCGTCCAGAAACAAATATAACGAAGCGGTTCGCAATGCCAAAACCCAGCATGATATAAAAGTTAGGCACAGGGTAATGTCGCAGCGCAATGGCAGTCGGTCTTTCTGGACGCTGGCCAAGCAGATTGAAAAGAACTTCTCACACAGTAGCCTTCCACCACTTACGTGTCAGGATGGAACTATTGTATTCGACTCAAAGGCCAAGGCGGAAGTGCTAGCCAAGATCTTTGCTGCCAACTCCACCATGGACGTCCCCACCAATGCCCAAGTGCCGTCAATTCAAAGGGTTCCCCACACTATGCGGGAGGTAACATTCAGGCATAAGACCGTAAGACGAGTGCTCTTGTCGCTCGACATCAACAAAGCTTCTGGTCCGGACTTGATTCCTGCCATTGTACTGAAGAGATGTGCAGCTGAGCTTGCTCCAGTTCTTTCGCGTCTCTTCCAGATATCTTATGAATCCGGCACCTTCCCAGAAAACTGGAAATTTGCTCATGTACAGCCCATCCCAAAAAAAGGATCTAAAACCGACCCTTACAACTACAGGCCTATAGCTCTGCTTTCTGTTATAAGTAAAGTGATGGAGAGGTGCATAAATCGCGAGCTTCTGGACTACCTCGAACGTCACAGCTTGATTAGCGACAGGCAGTACGGTTTCCGGCACCAACGATCCACAGGGGACCTCCTAGCTTACGTCACGCAACTGTGGAGTAAACTCATCCAGTCTCATGGTGAGGCTCATGTCGTTGCTCTTGACATCACGAAAGCGTTCGATCAGCTGTGGCACGCTGCCCTCTTGAGCAAACTTCCATCCTACAGCCTCCCAGAAAAGCTTTGCAGATGGGTGGCTGACTTTATCTCTGGCCGCAAGATATCCATCGTAATTGACGGATTCTCCTCTTCATCCCACAACGTCAACGCGGGTGTTCCCCAGGGATCGGTCTTGGCTCCAACACTGTTTCTCTTACATATCAGCGACCTCCTTTCCTGCACGATCAACCCAATCCACAG